ACCTACATAATGAAAAGAAGTGAACTTACTTTGATAGATAGCAAAAAGATCAAGTATAGGATTAGGACTGACTTGCACTAAAATACTAAAGCTTATGTATTTAAGTTGTTTAACATATTGAGACTGAGGTACCATTTGTTAATTTTCACATAAAAATCATTGACTATTTTGGAAATGTACCGGCAGACTTCCATTCATTTCTCTCTTCATCTTTATCTTCATCTTCTTCCTCTCACTTTCCTCCTTCACTTCACTTTCTCCATCATATTTTTCATGCATAGTGAAGAATTAATTAGTTAAGCGCTTAACTTCAAACTCTCATTTCATCCAAGTAAGTAAACCTTCTGGAAATTTTCATAATTGAATCACTTGTGTATTTTTACATGATTCATAAGGAATTCTTTATGTATAGAGATGTGAAACCAAAGTAGAAGGAAGCTAAAAAAGAATGTGTTGCTCAGCTTTTTGGAAGTTTAAGTGTGTACTTCTCTTTTAGTTTAATTAATTTCCTTGCATGAGAATTGACGTGGTTGTTGATAATGAGAAGATCATGGTTGCTTAATGTTGAGTGACATAGACTGATAAGAATGTGCTTGAGGCAAAGCATGGATGAAATAATAAATGGCCAGTAAATAATTGATACGAGTTTTACTGAATAAGTTTGCTGGAAAATTTACCAGTAACTTAACCTTGATTTTGACCCCATTTATGATGGATATTAGGAAGTGGTTCTATAAGATTATATTTGTTCCTCTATGTGTTAGCTTTCATAGGTTTGAATCACCCAAATTAGAGTTATAAATGAAGATTTATGACCAAATCAGTACAACTCGCACAGCGCTAAAAAACATGCGCGCGCGCTCAAAAAAAAAAAGCGGAAATTGTGCTGTAAACTCTCTGACTTCATATTTTGCTTCTCGAGTGCTTCGCTAATTCATGGCACAGCTACAATCTTGTCTCTGTAAAACTCACCTGACCCTCTTGTGTGCTTCTCCGCTCGCGACTTTGGTCATGGGCGCGCCGCACTTGTGTTCTGATGCTCTTTTGACCTCATTTTCTATGCATTGTATTCCTTTGCTCAACTGTATGCTCTCCAATCATTTTAAAACAAAAAAGACAACCATGATACACATGTATAAAACACTAAAATGCAGCATGCAAACTGATGTGAAACTAACTATGACACAAAGTTGCCCGCTTGCGGCGGCTTATCAGCATTATTTAGGTAATGAGCAGTATGCTTTATGAAATTATGATAGAGTTAATATGTTTTGTTTTATTATTGACATACACTAATTAATGCTCATTGAGTTAAGGTAGAAACACTTAGATATAAGGCTATGTCGATGAATAGGATAGCAGATTCTGCGCCTCCATAACAGTTTTGTACTCCGGCTACAGGCCGTGAATGAATTATTGATACTACTTATAAATGGCCAATAGCAGCCATCATTACAGTATTCAATCTAGTTTTCATACAGTTCTTCTTATCACTTTGGTTTCACATCTATACCTAATATGGAGCCTATTACAGTTATATGTGACTAACATGCTTTAGTTGATACACTCACTTACATGAACAAACAAGTCTTACGATAATGTAAAGTATCATGATTGTTGGACTACCACTATACTTATTATCCATATGTGATTACATGTTTATTTAACCATATGTATGTGCTGTCACTGTTTCTTTTATTCGTTCGATATTCACTGAATTTTAATAAAAGTTGTTAGAATTCAGTTAACAAGCATAATGAAACATCACGGGTAAGATTCATTGAATTAGTATAATGTTTATGTGTGCTTACTGACGTTTATTTATTTAGTTGCTTAGTGGAAGTACATTACAGTATAGATTTTTATTATTATTACCTTATATGTGTGACTAAAAAGTGCATCAAGTCAACAATATATATAACAATGCAAGTTAATACAATGAATATAATGTTATTGTTGTTCCTTACCTATGTTTATATTTAATTCAAATACAGCCATAATGAACAGAGGTAAGATCATGATATTATCTATATTGTGATTAAAGCAGTTACATGTACAAGGAGTTATAGATTAATTAGAAACTCAATTAGTTCATGTTTATGCAATTAGAAGTGTATTTCATATACTTATAAACGATAATTTATGTTGATAAATTACTGATTCTCAAGCTCTTATCAAATGCTTTTATAACTTTGTATTTAAGTAAATAGCCTCGCACTTTGTTATACAGTATGATGATATTATGAGGCAACCATTGCAATTTTGATACTCAGCGCGTCTGAATTTATCACGCCGTCATGCGTTGAAGGATCTTGTTTCTATCTTGAAGACTTGAATGGAGTACTATCAAAGCAGAAGTGCACTAATTTGGGAGTAGTAATTGAATCTATTATAATTAATAATTATGGCCAGTATCAATTATAGCTATTTGTTAGAAGCTTTATGTGATTGGAAATATAGTGAAACACTGTAAATTATTTTGGTTGTAAGTAATTTGGAAGATAAGTAATAATACTTATTGAATGACTTGATATAAATATTTTACATATATTGTGTGATTAGTTCATAGACTTGATACTAGATCAATGAATGCACTTAATATGCTGGATATCACAATGCTATTGAGGATTTATACAGTTATGAAATATTATAAAGTGTTATTGTGTTCTATATGTTATTTGGAAGATGTTGAAAATGTATTAGAATTTAATTGGAAGTGTTTTATATTCATATTTAGGCAAGTGTTTTATATTCATATTTAGCATACAGTATGATATCAGCATGACAGGACATAGGTTCAACCAGATTGTAGCGTCTCGACTCGGTTCATTCGGGTTACTGGGTGGACCGGGAAGGAATGTTACAGGGTATCCATTAATTATTATATTAAACATGTTCGATAGTGGGTACCCACTAGTACCCTATCTATTATTAGTAAAAAACTATATTTTAAATAAGTTTGAATTTGAATATTTTAAGATTTGCAATACCTTAACCGTATAAGAGGTACTTTAAACGAGTTTTGGACAAATACAGGTAGTAAAATTTAAACGAGTTCAAATATGGATACTTAATGAGTATTCAAATAGATTTAGATGGATATGAGTATTAAAATTTTAAATATATATATTTAAAATTTGAAGGTACACGCTTCGCTTCCATCCTTATTAAGAGGTGTATTGGATTAGAACTTTGTTAGATCTTAAAAGATTTTTGAAATCTTTAGATTGGAGGATGGATTTGTAAATAACTCTTTTATTCATACATATCACCTTAAAATCTAAAGAAATCAATAATGTTATAAAATCCTTCCAAATCAATAATTTTTTGAATACCATCAAATTTGTATGGCTTTTAAAAGTCATAATTGAATACTATCATATTTTTATGGATTTTATAAGAGTCTGAATTGAATACCACAAGATTTTAATAGACTCCAAAAAAATCGAAATCGATTACTATTAGTCTGAATTGAATACCACAAGATTTTAATAGACTCCAAAAAAATCGAAATCGATTACTATTAGAATTTTAAAATCTTTTAAAATCTAATAGAGTTTTAATCCAATACACCGCTCTATTTGTTCCACAAGATTTTAATAGACTCCAAAAGAATCTAAATTGAATACTATTGAAATTTTAAAATCTTTTAAAATCTAATAGAGTCTTAATCCAATACACCCCTCTAATTGCATACAAAGTTAAGTTGTTATTTGTTCCAAAAATAAAAAAAAATAAAAAGACACGGTTTTTTTTTTTTTTTAAAAAAAACAAATATGACAAGTTGTTATTCATAAATTATAAAAATAACAATTTGACATCAACGCATAGCCCAGTGATAAATATATATTTGATCTGTCAATAGATTTCGAATCTCCCCTCCCCAATACTCAAAAAAAAAAAAAAAAAATTCAAATTATTTAAACTTTTTATTAAGCTATAGGTGTCATCTGGTTTACAATGAGCTCGAATATATAATTTAAACCTTTTAAATTTTGATAAAAATAAAAAAAAAAAAAAAAAGTCAAATTATTAAACTTTTTATAAGCTATAGGTGGATCATCTGGTTTACAATGGTCGAATATATAATTTAACCTTTAAATTTTGATAAAAAATTTTATGGTACCTTAATCTTCCTTTTTTGTACTAATCATACTCCTCCGTGCAATAAAACAATAATTTTAAAGTTTTTTTTTTTACTTTTATATGTAAAATATTGATTTAGCATGTAGTTAATACAACTTTTGGATAATTTTTATATTTTTCAATTATCTAACAAGTGTTTAATCGATTTCATTTTATAAATTGATGTGTTTAATTGGTCAAATAAATTATTTAACATGTTCAATTTTATAAATTTAAGTGCTTAATGAGACAATTTAAAAATTAAAAGTGCTATAAAATTTTTCATTGAAAGTACATGATAAGAGTGAGCATTCAATTTAACCAAATTGAATCACACCAAACCAAATTGGTTCATTTGGTATGACAGAATAGATTTCATGATTGAATAGCCGAAAATGTGAAAATCAAAATTGTTTTGTATCTAATTTGTTATTCCAAATCGAATCATCTATTATTAAAATCAATTCAATTACCTATGCAACTGACCAATCCGAAAACTAAAAAGTATTCGGTAATTAGTTTTCATATAAAATAGTAATCGATCTTTTAAAAAATTAATCGAGTCAAATCAAAATAAATCAGTTCAATTATTCCAGACCGAATATTGCTCATTGTGGTAAATTTATATATTGAACCGGTTTACAATAGAAATTATTTGCTTAGACCCAGTCTACAACCACACTTATGAACCAAATTAATGACAATAAAATTTTTTTAAAAAGTGTTTCGATTTTATTTTATTTTTTCAATATATAGTTAAAAATATCATTATTTTATTAAAAAATATTATTTTTATTGGAGTCACCTAACTAAAATTTTCCCGTTTACGACGGCATTTTAAAATTTTAACTGCCCAGTACTAACCAACCGCCCGATATCACAACTTATAATAGAGCGTAAAAAGCAAGTGGTCATCATCCAAATAATGGCTTCCACATCTTCTGCTCTTCCTATTCCTCCCTCCACAACTTCTCGTCAGGCGGACTCCTCCTTCCGCAACAGCAACCATAAAGCCTCTCTCCTCACCATTTCGCCACCGCCAAATCCCACACTCAAAACCCCTACAATCCGCTCTCGCCTTAGCAGGCTCTGTCAAGAGGGCCACCCGCATCTTGCTCGACAACTGTTCGACACAATTCCTCGCCCAACTACCGTTCTTTGGAATACAATTATTATCGGTTTCATTTGCAACAATATGCCCTTAGAAGCTCTTTTGTTTTACTCCCAACTTAAAAATGCCTCTTCTATTCCTAAATGTGATTCTTATACTTACTCTTCTACCCTCAAAGCTTGCGCAGAAACTAGTAATTTAATGTTAGGTAAAGCCATTCATTGCCATTTTATTCGGTGTTTATCACACCCAAGTAGAATTGTATATAATTCTCTTTTAAATATGTATTCTGCATGTTTGAGCAGCATGGGATCTTTTAACGAGTTTGATTTTTCTAAGTATGATTTAGTAAATACAGTTTTTAAGACAATGCGTAAGAAAGATGTGGTTGCTTGGAATACTATGGTTTCATGGTATGTGAAGACACAGAGATATAAGGAAGCAATTAGGCAATTTAGGATAATGATGAAAATGGGGATTAGACCCAGTCCAGTTAGTTTTGTCAATGTTTTTCCTGCTTTATCCAGCATTGGGGACTGTAAGAATGCAAACGTTCTTTATGGGATGCTTCTTAAATGTGGTAATGAATATGTTATTGACTCGTTCGTTGTGAGTTCAGCAATATCTATGTATGCTGAACTTGGTTGCCTTGATCTTGCTAGAAAGGTTTTTGACTGCTGTTTGGAGAAGAATACAGAAGTTTGGAACACTATGATTAGTGGGTATGTACAGAATAATTGTTTTTCCGAGGGAATTGATCTCTTTCTTGAAGCTATTGAAATGGAACAGACTGCTCTTGATGATGTAACCTTTCTCTCAGTTTTAACTGCGGTTTCACAGCTGCAGTGTTTGGACTTGGGTCAACAGCTACACGCCTTCATAATTAAAAACCTAACAGTCTTATCAGTGACAATACTGAATGCAATCATTGTCATGTACTCAAGGTGCAATTCTGTCCATACTTCATTCAAAATTTTTGAGAAGATGCCAGATAGGGATGTTGTCTCGTGGAATACCATTATTTCGGGTTTCATACAGAATGGACTAGATGATGAAGGGCTAATGCTTGTGTATGAGATGCAGAAGCAAGGGTTTATTGTTGATTCGGTGACAGTAACTTGTCTACTCTCTGCAGCATCTAATCTTAGAAACAAAGAGATTGGAAAACAGACTCATGCGTATCTTGTTAGGCATGGCATAAGATTTGATGGAATAAACAGCTATCTTATAGACATGTATGCTAAATCGGGTTTGATTAGGGAATCACAATATGTTTTTGAGAAGAACGATATTAAAAATAGAGATCAAGCCATTTGGAATGCAATGATTGCTGGGTACACACAGAATGGACTGATTGAAGAAGCTTTTCTTACCTTTAGAAAAATGCTTGAGCAAAATTTAAGGCCTAATGCTGTGACCTTAGCGTCCATTCTCCCAGCTTGTAATCCATTAGGAAGAGTAGATGTAGGAAAGCAGCTCCATGGAGTCTCCATTCGTTCTTTATTGGATCAAAATATCTTCGTGAGGACGGCCCTTGTTGATATGTACTCTAAATCCGGTGGAATCAACTATGCTGAAAGCATTTTCACCACATCTGCTGAGAAAAATTCTGTCACGTACACGACAATGATATTGGGTTATGGTCAACATGGGATGGGTAAGAGAGCTCTGACATTGTTTCACTCAATGAAGAAATCTGGCATTGAACCTGATGCAATTACCTTTGTTGCAATCTTGTCGGCTTGTAGTTATGCTGGTTTCGTTGACGAAGGCCTTCAAATTTTTGAGTCAATGAAGAGAGACTTTAAGATTCAGCCTACAACTCAGCACTACTGTTGTGTTGCAGACATGTTAGGGAGAGTTGGGAGAGTGATCGAAGCCTTTGAATTTGTTACACAACTGGGTGAAGAAGGAAATGTGATGGAAATTTGGGGATCTCTTCTTGGGGCTTGCAGACTTCATGGACAAATTGAACTGGGTGAGGTTGTTGCCAATAAGTTGCTTGAAATGGGCTCAGTGCACAGCTTGGCAGGCTATCAAGTCTTGCTCTCCAATATGTATGCTGAAGAAGCAAATTGGGAAAGTGTTAATAAGTTGAGGAAAGAGATGAGGGAAAAGGGTTTGCGAAAGGAAGTTGGCTGTAGTTGGATCGATATTGGAGGTCATGTCATGAATTTTGTGTCTAAAGACTTGGATCACCCTCAATGTGATGAGATATATGAAATGCTGGAAAAATTGGCCATGGAGATGAAAGATACTGATTGTAGTCCTTTTCCTGGTTATGTATTTGATAATGTTGATGTTAGATGAGATTTTTTGGGGGCAAATTGCAGTTGACAAACCAAATATTGTTGGTAGCAAATGGTGTGTTAGGGTTTGTGCTTATGGTAAGTTGGTAACAAATGAAAAACATGATTATTTGAATGCTTGTCCAAAGTGACAATTTACAAACCATGCGCTGATTGCTGGCTTGGACTGCCGAAGTATGTGAATAATTTGTTTGAAGATGGTTATTGGATGCTTTCCTGTCTCGTGTTGCCGTTCAGTTCTGCAATGGTGATCAAGTGAGATTAAGCAAAATTAAGCTATTTGAAATGACTTTTAAAAAGGAGTTTTATGCAACTATTCAGGTCAGTTCAGAAAAAACTTCTCATACATTATTTCCTTGTGTTAGATAAATGAACTTACATGTGTATAGGGTCTTACAAGATACAAAAGTAGTTAGGGCCTCTCATTTACATCTTATATAAATATGTGTATTTGCTGCTTAGTTTTTTGCTTTTATGGTGGCGGTAAATTTTACTATGCTTATTGAAGCTCCAATATCAAATATATAAATTTGAGTTTCTGTGAGTTCATGGAAGATTTTCTGTCAATCATAAACAAGTATTAGTAAATCCATTGCAAGAGAAAAATAACTTGATTAATTTTGGTCAGTTATACCAATGAACTGATCATCTCAGTTCATAGCGGTAATGTTTTCAGTCAGCAGAGGGATTAAATTTTAGTCAATATTTAACTACCCTTGTGAACTTCTGAATGAGAATGTCTTGTATCCTTGTGACTTTGCATTTGTTCCTTTTCTTTGATAAAATTTGTTTTTTCATTCAGAAATTTAACTTGTAACGGGGGCAAACATTTCATCAATTACAGAATACAAAGGCATACAATCCCTGATCTTGTACTTATCAAGACTAAAAAGATCCTAAATGTTCTCGTCACTTCAGTATATAAGAATTGTGTGCAACAAATTTTGGAGTCTCTCATCAGGTTACTCTGTGGGAAATCTATATCATCTACTGCCTGCTCGGCCTTTTATACATCAATGCAATATTTCGCTAAATTAGAAAATGTGACAGCTTCAAGAAGATGCTGTCTGGGCATGAGTATTCCAGATCCTGAAGGTACTACTTCTCTTATTGTTCCTTTATCTCTCTTATAAGCAATTGCTTGCTTTATTTCAATATATGATAAACTGTTCTGGTGGAATTTCTTTGCTTTGTTATAATTATTAGTTCTTTCATCTATTTTCTGGAAAGGATAAGCCGTGATATGTACGTAAATTGTTAATTTAGTGCTTTGGGTTCATATCCCTACTCCAAATTCTAGCAATGAACCAGCAAAATGTGTAAAGAAACAAGCAATGCGTGTATCTCATGCTTCATTTTGTTCTCCTACTACCAACATTTCCATATCTATAGAAGTGAATTAACTTTCTATTGAATTTCCTCAATTATTGTTTTATTGAATAGCTTAATATTTTTCTTGAAAGGATAAACCATGGTATAGAGATCAACTCAATCTATCTCGAGTCTCGACTCAGTTCTGCCTTAATGCCAATTCTAGTTAGGTCAGCTATATGAATTCTTTTTCTCCATTATACTCAATATAAGCTACTTTTTGCTCACTTATTTCCCCGTGTCATCTGAAGTCTGTTGCTTTATTTTCATCAGAATTTTCAACGGTCTCAACCTTCTGTGTCAGTGATATACATGTCAAAACCATTTCAACATTTATTCTCTCAACTTTTCTTCAACAGGTGTAAGTTGCCTTTTTCCAAATACGTTCATTTCTTATAAAGTCATCCTTATATTTTCGAACACAAGATTTAGCATTTTGTAGTTTCAACATTAATCTTTGCACGCATATATCATAACTAGTTGAATTATGGTCTTTTGGAATATTGCGATCACCTTGGTCGCAACCACATTGGATTACTTCTCCAATTCATCCATTTTGTTTTAACCCTATAGTTGACATCCTTAGCATTTTCTTCATCCAATTTGTATATTAACCCAGAAATCGAAAGTGTGCGCTTTATGGATCACTGCTACATTTAGGCTATACCCCAATTTTTTTCCCTTTTTGCTTGTCCCTCCATTGCTAGTTGCACATATAAACTCTTGGCTGCTACTCCATACTTCTAGGTTCCTCTTAATCACAAATCTGGTTAAACATCATACATCTTTGGTATGTGCTTTGTCAACTCATTTGCAAAAGGATATTAACCCAAGACAAACCATTGGGCCAGTCCAATTGTAATAGGAAATTATTCTCTGAGTATACGTAACATGACAATTTCAATGCACTTAAATTATGTAATGAATTAAAAATTTAGTATAATCATGATGAACATGAAAAAGATACAATATTGTCTCTAAAAACGGTTAAATCATTAAAAAAATCCTAAATTTTGCAGATAGTTTTAATTGCACTCTAAATTCAACTTTCTTACTTTCTTCTCCAAGTATTTTGAATTTTAATTTTAGATACAATAGCATCTTAATTTTAAATTATATCCAATTTAATGAACAAAATATTATTTTCATTGGACCTACATGGTCAGGTTAACAAAAAGTCCAACTTTTAGCAATACTCTCACTAATATTGGTTAGAATTTTTTTTAAATTCATAAAAAGCCAAGTAAAATAATAAATTTTAGTTAGTTATAAGTATAAGATATTAGTTTAGGTTTATGTTTTGCCATTTTTAAGCATGGAATTTTAGTTAAAGTTTATTGAAATTATATTGAAGTTACATCTCTTATAAAAATAGGTTTTATTTGTTACGGTATAATTTTATTTTTAGAGAATCATTACTTGTCATTATTATATAAATAAATAAAAAATATTTTATTTTTGAGATGAATATATTTATTTTTTATTTTAATATTGGGTATAATTTGAAATTAGAGTGCTATTGTAACTAAAGTTGAAGTTCGAAGTACTAGAAGAAGAAAATTGAATTTAGGTTACAATTAAACCTACATGCAAAATTTGAAGTTTTTTTTCAATGATTTAGCCCCTGAAAAGATGATAAACTAAGTGATAACAATAATATTAATAAAAAGAATAATATAATCTCTTTAAAACATAAAAAATGAAAGGAAGGAAAACCCAAGTATTAAAAAAACGTACCGATTCTTGTGGTCTTATGAATTCCTAATTTCAAATTAATGTTGCAATCTAGCTCTTAATGCTCTGCTTGTTTTTGTAAATAACTTTCAGGAAAATAATTTGTTAAAAAAATATTTTTAATGAAAAATATTTTTTTAATAATATTTTTTAAATTATTTATTTTCCATTATTTAGTTGTAATATTAAAAATTAGTTAAAAATATTAAAATTTTTATCTCATAGGACCAAAATATTATATAAATAATAGAAATTTTAAAATTTAAACATTTTAATGTTAAATATGAGAAGAATGTAAAAAAAAAAAAAACAGTAAATTATGAAAGCTGCCGGTTGCCTGTGGTGGCGGCTGCGTTGGCCATGGCCAGTGGTTAATGACCATGATGATTAATAAATTAAAGCAAAAAATGTTATAAAATTTGTCAATGTGCCGAAAATGTTTTTTTCTTGGAAATGAAAAGTTGTTTTCCTTAAAATATGACTTAATTTTCCTTTAACTAGGAAAATATTTTTTATTGATTTATTTTCCTAAAAGCCCAAAGCAATGAAAGAGAAAAATATTTTTCTGCAAATTATTTTACGGAAACAAATGGAGTCTAAATTTGATAATTGATATAGAAAAAATAATTATTCGGTCTTTGAGGTTTGACCAAATTATTTAAGTAATCCTCATTTTGTGGATGAGTATGCAGTATATTTTTAAGTTGGACTCCGTCATCCTAAATATCTTAAGTAGTCAATCCGTCCAATTTTACCATTAAATCAAGAATAAGAGAGAAGTGAGAGAGATTTTACAAAATGACTCATAATGCCCCTGGTGAGCTGAGCTGTAGTTATGTAGGACGATTTTAATGGGGAAAAAAAAAAAAAAAAAACACAAACAAAGAGGCTCCTCTTTTCGTTCTCTCTTCTTCGAAGTGAACAGAAACAAAGTTTTCTCTCTTATTCATTATTGTCTCTCTCTACAAATTCACGGTCATGATAGAACATTAGCAAAGCCACTCTAGCCACTCCACCAGATTGCAGAAACACCGATCCACGAACTCCTTTTGAAGCAATGGCTAAAAAAAGAGGAGCTAATCCTAAATAGAGTCGCTCTTAAAGAAATCCAAAATTGATTCAGTACATAAAAGAAATAACACAGCTTTACATTTTCTTTTTACTCATTCTACTCCATTTCCTTACTTTTTCTCTCTAATGCCTCTTTTAGAGACTCGCCTAGAAGTGGATCCTACTGTAAAAGATCATGGATCCCACCGTTGTGTTCTCTTTTGTGTTCTTTGAGGATTATCTGGGTTATTCGATATCGAACAGATGTAGAATGTCATGAAGAGAAGTTGGAGAGAGAGAAAGAATATAAGAAGTTATTGGCTAATGGTGTAGAAGAGTTGAAGAGCAAAGGAGTAGAATTTGATCTCTTAAAGGGAGTTTATGCGCTTAGAAGAGCTAAGTTTGCATGTGTAAATGAAGGTGGTAAGAAAATGGTCTGCATGGGATTTTGTTACTCTTTTATTCTTTACTCTGTCATGTTTAGTTTTGGGGTCGACAAGGATCATTTCGTGTAATTAGGTTCTTCGGGGTTTGTGCTATGGGGTTTTGGGAATTTGAATTGATGGCAAAAATTCTTTGTTGTTGCATTTGGATTGGATAGCATTCGGTTGTGCATAACATTCTGTTCTGTTCTGCTATTATAATTTGGGTTGAAATCTGACTTATCGGAGGACATTTTATTCTTTTCACACTGATTTAACATGCAAAATCCCTAAAATTAGATAGGAGTATTTAGCACTATGGAATCAAATTTCAGTAACGCCGTATGTTTGACCAAACAGTGAAAAATTAAATAATTTGATCATATTTCAAGTACGAAATAATAATTTTTCCATTGATATACACTAGAGGTACAAATTGTCTCTTATGTATCTTTTATTTTCTATTTAAATATCAATAAATTTCCATTTATATTTAAATCATTAATTTGAAATTTTTATAAATATATTTATCTAATTAAAAGGAAAAATTATAATTTTATCTTTGTAATTTACGGTAAATTACTTAATTCTATATTTTAAAAAATATACTGAAATATGCGTATTGTTTGGTTCGTTACAAATAATATTAAACAATCAGAAGAGATATGCCGTTATTAGGATCTATACCTGACCGTTGCCAACATTATGTACGAGCTAGTGCAAGAGATGTGGGGGTCCAATACAAGTATGTTAAACTTTTTGAGGTGTTCATACAGCCTATATATTTGGTGGCCCTTTGTCGTGTTGCCTGCTCTAGATCGAGGAGAGTACAACATCAGATTTTTATGAGAAACTTCATCTCCGTTGTGCAGAGCAGACGTGTATATATATTTCAAAACTCACCGTTAAACCTTTGGCAGTCCTTTCTCAAGTTGTGTTCTCTAAATCGAGGACAATACAATTTGAGATCTTCACTTTAATTATATATATATATATATATATACTTCTCTTACAGCCTTTTTAATAATAATGAACAGATGTAGGGCATGAGTATTTTCAGATCTAAAATGACCCTTAACCTTTGAGACATTGAACTCTAGAAACTACTCTTCAATATCCTCTAAAAGGCTATTTTTATCCCAATAAGGATTCGAGATAAGACTTAAAAATAGGAATAAAAAGCTCTAAAAGGCATCAATGAAACCTTTCTAACAAAGTTGAAACTTACATAAATGTCCCTTCAGTTGGATGTGGTTTCATTTGCTTGTGGACTTGACTGGATGTAATGAGTTGGATCTAGAAATTTTCTAACAGGTCAGCATTTTCTTTTGAGATTGCTTTAGTGTAGCAGTAAATCGTCATGGGACTCTCGAAAGCCCAAAAATATAAATACTAACACGGTGATTGTGATATGCACGGTAAATATCTTTATTTATAGTTTTAGAGATATTGTGATAATATTTTAAAATATATAATTTAATTAAAAAATTTTATAATTTAAATTATTTTTAATTTCATATTTGTTAATTTTGTTAATTATTTAAATTAAAGAGACATCTATTTCCAAATTCAAAACATTAACATTAAGTTTTATGGTTTAATTTTAATTTTTATAATTTAAATTATTTTTAATTTCATATTTGTTAATTTTGTTGAAAATTATTTAAATTAAAGAACATCTATTTCAAATTCAAAACATTAATCATTAAGTTTTATGGTTTATTTAATAATTCATAACCTAAGGTCGTTAATTTATGAAAACCCTCCATGAATCAAACCATATAACTTCCGTATCAAGTTATTATTCCCATGTAATTTATTATCTCAAAAACCATTCTTTCGATAGTGATTAACGAAATAAATCAATCCAGAGAAGAAACTCTGCCTAGGAACATTAAATTTAATAATAAATTAAATTTGAACAAGAAAAAGCAAATCTAATATTATAAATTGGAATAGAAATTAAGCTACATCAAATTCTTAATATGAGAGTTTAGTTCGACATAGTAATTAAATAAAATTCAATTAAACTTGAAATTAATAGAATAAGAGATGGCAATAACCTAGCTAGTCTCTCTCTTTAAATAGACTCCTTAGGCAATCTTCAAATTTAATTAGGAAATAAAATTTCTAATGAGTAAGAATCGTTTTGAGGTAGGAAATTGATTAGACATTGTATTTCTTCCAATTTAGGATTCTTCCAGTGGCTTGATAGGATTTAAACTTGATTGGCACGTCAAAAAAGCATCTCATGCGTAAAATTGACGTTTTTAGCCCAATATGAAGTCAGGCAATCAGCACGGACGTGCTGTCTACCACGGGTTGGGTGTGCTAGGCTCTGAGTCTTCAGGGTGGATGTAGCATGGGCCGTGCTCAGGTGAGCACGCTCTTGGATCGACACTTCATTGTAGCACGGGCGTGCTCTCTGGCACGGCTTGGGTGTGCTAGCCTTTGAGTCTCCATAGTGTTTTCCTTTGAATTCTGCATGGAGGTGCTGGATTGCATGTCCAAGGCATGCCCACCTTTTAAAGTTTTCCTTAACTTCATTCTTTTCTGAACTTTTGCCTAGTTTTCTATCAAAATCCTACTAAATTTCTCAAAATCAAATGAAATGTGATTCAAGAAAGCTTTATTGGAAAAACAAAAATAAATTAACTGAAATAAAAAAATAGATAAAAACTAAATGAAAACTTAAATAAAATTTATAAAAATTAACTATAAAAATAAAGCGTATCACAACCATTTAATAGCATTAAATCAATTAGTAATAATTTATTCATAAATTACAGTACTTTACACAATTGAAATCCAATAATGAGGTTTACCATATGCACATATCTTGCTGTTTCTTCATCCAGAAGCCAAAAATCCATCCCCTGAGCATATTAACATGATAAAAACTGTAAAAATACCCGATGAAAGTATTAATCCTAATGGATATAATGTTGTCAAGAAATTCATGATCCATGGCCCTTGTGGTGAATTTAATGCAAATTCACCATGTATGTTGAATGGTAGATGTACCAAGCATTGTTCAAAAAATTTTAATGACCAGACAACATTGGATGCAGTGCAGATGGATTCCCAGTGTATAGGAGGAGGAATACAGCCTTAAAAGTAGAAAAGAAAGGGATCTTATTAGATAATCGGTATATGTGGTTCCATACAATATAAACTTAATTGTGAAGTTTGATGCTCATATTAATGTCGAGCTATGTAACTATTCAAGGTCCATCAAATATTTGTTCAAATATATCCATAAAGGATCTAATCAAGCAGTTGCTATCATTGAATCTATTGATAATTCTAAAGGGGTTGACAAGATTAAGACTTATTTGGACTGTAGATATATATCAACTATTGAAGCTTGCTGGAGAATCTTCCAATTTGACATACATTATAGAGAACCAGCTGTAGAAAGATTGCCATTTCACCTTCCAGGACAGCATATTGTAATATTTGAAGAAGATAGCTCATTGAATAATATTATGAACATGCCTAATATAGAAAAAACAAAGTTCACTAAATGGTTTGAGACTAATAAAAGGTACAATGATGCAACACAACTTACTTATGCTGAATTCCCAATACATTTGGTGTGGAATGGAAAAGACAAAATTTGGACAAGGAGAAAAGTCGGAAAAATGATTGGAAGGATCTATTTTGCACATCCTTCAAGTGGTGAAAAAAATATTATTTAAGGATGTTATTGAACATTATAAAGGGTAACACTTCATTTGAAAGCATTCGAACTATAAATGGAGTGCTTTATCCAACTTTTAAGGCTGCATGTTATGCATTGGGCCTTTTGGATGATGATAAGGAATGGAATGATTGTCTTGCCGAAGTAGCAATATGGGCAACTGGAAATGAATTAAGGCATCTGTTCGTAATGATACTTCTACATTGCCAGGTGACTGATGCACCTGAGCTTTAGAAATCTAATTGTACAATTCTATCAAAAGATATTATTCAATTATAGAGAAGAAGACTTCAATTTCAAGGTCTACAATTATCGGCAGAACAAATGCAAAATTATGCTTTGTGCGAGATTGAAAACATCCTTCTAAAAATGGGCAAAACATTGAAGGGAATTGATGGGATGCCTCTTCCAGATTCTTCCCTGATAAGAGATATGGGTAATTGACCGTTGAACAAAGAGCTTAACTATGATTGCAGTTAATTTAAACACATGCATGAAGAATTATACATAGATTTGAACACGTGTCAAAAAACAACATATGAAGCTATTATCGATTCTGTACCTACTGAGAGAGGACAATTATTTTTCATTAGTGGTCATGGAGGAACTGAAAAGACATTTATAGAAAACAATTATCTCAAAGCTTAGGTCAAAATCAAAAATAGTTCTGTCAATTGCAAGTTCAGGTATAGCTGCCTTTTTGTTGCCAAATGGTAGAACAACCCACAGTTCCATATTCCTTTAGATATCACGGCAGAATCATCTTGTAAAATTCAACATGGAACCTAATTAGCTCATCTACTTTGTAAGACATCTCTAATCATATGGGATGAAGCACCAATGGCAAACAAATTTTGCCTTAAAGCTTTGGATAAGAGTTTAAGAGATACTCTTCAATCAAGATATGAAAATAGCAATGATAAGCCTTTTGGAGGTATTACAATTATTCTTGGAGGTGATTTTCGATAAATACTCCTAGTCATCTCTAAAGGTAGAAGAGTAGATATTGTTGATGCCTCACTCAATTCATCTTATTTATGGTAGCTCAATATTTTTGAGCTTAAGCAAAACATGCAACTTTCAACTGGAACAGTTAGTGATTTGGAAGCTCATAAAATAGCAACTTTTGATAAATGGTTATTGTAAATTAGAGATGGTACCTCCTTATATGATCATGAAGAAAAAGAATTAGTTAAACTTCCCATTGATATTATCTTAGAACATGACGAAGATCCTATAAAAAGCATTGTGCAAGCTATTTACCCATCACTTCAACAAAAATATTGAGACTTTACTTATTTGAAAGAGAGCTATTTTAACACCTAAAAATGAAATGGTCCACCAGTTAAATGAATTCATTATGGAGCTATTATCGGGTGAAGGAACTACATATTTAAGCTCTGATAGCATTTGCAAAGCCACTGCTGTTGCAAATGATGAGGATATGTTATACACAACTAAGTTTCTAAACAGCTTAAAATTTTTAGGAGTTCCAAATCATGATGTACAATTAAAAATCAGTGTTCTTGTCATGCTTCTC